AAGCTAAGCTAAGTCTAGTTAATTAGGCGCGAAAGCCTAATTGTATTGTATAATTCATTCCCCTCCCCTTGGCATCCCGTGCACACTCCAATCATAATCCTCCCAAATGTCAGGTGTGAGATAACTTCGAAAGGCATCACCAGGATGAAATGCCGGACCGTTAGCCTTGGCGGGAAACACTCCTCCTCCACATGCACAGTAAGGTGGTCAAGTCAAAATCTAGAATCTTCCTCCAGCACAACAATGAGTTCCCTCCCAAATACCATGCCCCCCTCCCCATTTCAATGGCAGCCGAAGCAGTAGCAAAGTGGAGGCTGACACTGCCCCTCCATGTGAGTGACATCGAGTTGGCCATGCCCATCCAATCACATGAACATACCCACCTAGTCATGCCCACCCAGTCACATGACTGCCAAGCCACTTCCACCCAGTCACATGACCACAAAGCCATGGCCACAAAATAGGCCACACCCACAAAATAGGCTACACCTAGAGAATAGGCAGTAAAAATTTTGAAACCCACCACAGTTATGGACACGTGTCAGTGTTGCAGGCTGGAGGTTTGGGCAAGAAGCCCAGTCAGATGTGGAGGGAGGGAAGCCCCGGCCTGCCCATCTTCACTTCTACCCCCTCTCATTCCCAGTGGCAACAGTTCTCACACTGCCACTTCCCCAGCGGTGAGAGGAGCAGCGAGCGAGTCAGCCACCCTCCCAGCCAGGAAATGCTTTCTGTGTGCCTGATCTGGCTGGTCACTCCTGTCCTTCCCCCTTCAGCTGCTCTTCTGGGGCAGCAGGGCTGCTTAGGAGGAATGCCAAATATATGGCACCAGACAGGAAGCAGTCGCGCGTCCTTGGCAGAAGTGGCGGGGGGATGTGCGGTGGACGGCTGGCTCTTCTGGGATGCCTGAGCAGACCAGGTGCTCCAGACCATGGATGTGCTGGAGGGGTGGGGCTGTACAAGAAGCCTGTTTGGGTGAGGAGGGAGGGAGTCCTGGCTGACAGCTCTACTCCCCTAGGAAGCGACCGCTGAGATCCCCTCTGCGTCTTTTGGCACACACCCATTGCTCTTGCCATTGCTGGTCTTTGCACATGTGTGCTAGAAACCAGAAGACCAAGTGGCTGATGTTCATGTGCACACTGGCAACAGGAAAACCATCTTCCTGGCTTGCGCATGCGCACTGGGTGTCTCCTTATCCAGTTTCCAGCACATCCGTGTGCTTGAAAACCAGTGGCTGGCACACTGGAACCTGGAAGAGCAATGGGCAATGGCTCTGAATGCCTGGGGAGATGGCTCTGCATGCCACTTCTGGCATGTGTGCCATAGGTTTGCCATCACGGTCCTAAGGTGTGGCTATCCTGAATCTTTTCTCCCTCTTCATCCAGCTCAGGATTGTGTAGTCTCTTAACCTGGGCCTCTCTCTGGGAAAGCTCTAAGTTGCCAAAATTCTCTCCCATGGCTCCTACAGGTGCACCTTCAATCACACAAGGGGAGAGTAGGACCTTGTTGGTCCTCCTGGAAACTTTCAGTATCTCAACCATGATATTCTCCTTTCAGAATCACTGGGGTGATTCTACTCCTTAGTGGGTGATTTTTTCCAGAAGATGCTGAGGGATTTGGCAATTGGTTAGGTCTGAGTTCTATTTTACCACATATGCTTTTTAACATCTACTGTATATGAAACCATTGTGAGAGATCATCTAAAGATTACAGATTAGCAGAGTTGGAACCTTCCAAACCCCTACCCAAGCATGACACCCTACACCATTTCTGACAAATGGCAGTCCAGTATCTTCTTGAAATCCTCCAGTGATGAAGCTCCCACAACTTCTGAAGGCAAGATGTTCTATTGGTTAATTGTTCCCACTGTCAGAAAATTTCTCCTTATTTCTATGTTGAATCTCTCCTTGATTAGTTTCCATCCATTATTCCTTGTCTGGCCTTGGAGAATATTTTGACCCCTTCTTCTTTGTGGCAGCCTCTCAAATATTGGAACACTGCTATAATGTCTCCCCTGGTCCTTCTCTTCACTAGACTAGCCATTCCCAGTTCCCGCAACTGTTCATCATATCTTTTAGCCTCCAGTCCCCTAATCACCCTGGTTGCTCTTCTCTGCATTTTTTCTAGTTAACAACTTTTGAATAGTGTGGTGCAGTATTCTAGGTGTGGTCTTACTACGACTTTATAGGGTGGTATTAGTACGTCACTTGAATTTGATTGTATCCCTTAGTTAATGCAACTTAGTATTGCATTGGCTTTTTTGGCCGCCGCTGCACACTACTGGACCATATTTAATTGGTTGTCCACCAGATTTCCAAGATATGGGCTGAGAAGCCATCAAAATGCATTTGGGCAGGTGAGTGATGTCCTACCTGATCTAGAATAGTCCACAGTAACCCTAGTAGAGTAGGTTCACAGTTGGGGATATTCCAAATTCCATTATTATCCCTAGAGAGCCATGTGGCCTCAGTGACATAGAATGCCTTTCATCTGCTTTGGTTGATTGCTAAATCAATGAGTCTGGCCAGATGTCTACTCCCAACTGCGAACTGTGTCTTGCAACAGTTATTCAAATTTTGATAATTTCTCAGTTGATTATTTCAGTGTGTTATATGTGGGACTTCTTCTGAAAATTGCCTGGAAAATTCAATTATTGAAAATAGTGTCTGGATGTCTTCCTGATAGGAACGTATTATGTCTGCCATCTCCACTGGCTCCAATTCATAGCTCAGGTTTTTAAATATAAAGCCCCAAACAGCTTAGGATCAGGTTACCTGATAATAGCACCTTTTCCCATATACTTTAAAACTTTAAATATATAACTTTAAGACTTTAAAATCTTAATGAGGCTATCCTTTCCCCAAAGGAAATATTTATATTTTAAAAATAATCAATTGGTTTAGGTAGTATAGTCAGTATAATCAGGCATGCAGGAGTTTGTTATGGTAGCCTGTCTCAATAAAATAGGTTTGATAGTCCTGCAATTTTGTTTTCCTAATTTGGTCTATCTCAGAGGCTTGACAAATGGAAATGAAATATTTGTTTTTATTTTATATAAATGAAATCTCTCAGTAATATCTTTTATGGATATTTTTTAGTCTCTGGAAACATTAAGGCAGCATCCAGAAGATAATCGCAATCAGATTCGTGAATTGGCACAAACTTTAACAGATGGTGGAGTTTTGGATGAATTGATCAATGAGAAACTTGAAAAATTCAATGTTCGGTGGGAAGATCTACAACAGGAGGTATATTTCTCTGTTCTAATGTTTTGTTTTAAACACTATTTTAGGCATACGTGCTGGGTGGCTCTACATAAAAATAAAGTTATAACTTATATTATTCTATAGTTTTAAAAAATAGTGTGAATACAAATAAAAGAAATAGTGGTTGAGTTATTTGGATGATTTAGAGAAATAGTATTCAATGTGTTATATTTACATTAAAAATCATGACCTTTGTGCTGTCCTTTCAATAAATTAGCATGTTTGTGTATTATTCCCACACTCTCAATCTAAGGATATTGTTGGCCTCTCACAGTATATTACAATCATTTTCTGTTTGGAAATACCAAATTTTACTAGGAATTTGGAAGGAAGACACAGCACATTAATCTTTAAATGCATGTATAAATACTTGTTTTCAACATTAATGACAATTTAATTTTGCTATTTTAAATCCTAATTTGTTTGGCTTTTTGAGATTTTTTTTTTTATTGTTTTAGTTAAACAAAAAAAAAGAAAAGAAAAAAATCATCTTTTGTTACATCTTGTTGAAAGCGTATTGATTGGTTACAAATATATTCCGTGTGTTTCTTCCACAGTCCTTACATATACTTCATTCAAATCATGTTGAACATTTTAAGTCAAGAAAGAAAAGTTATGTATTTTACTATCCCCGTACCATAATTCTCATTTGGTTACCATTGGTTAAATATGTTTTTATCTAGAATCATTTATATTAGAAGACACAACCACCTACTGGCATTCATTTACAATTTCAATAGATCTCCAATACCATTAAACCTTTATGACATGTTCTAAATTTAATTCGGTTAAGTAAGATATCTAAGCATTTCTAAAGTGGGAAATTTTATAAGCCTAGGACAACTTTATTATTTCATCACCGACATTCAGAATCTAAAGGTGCCGAAATACTTTTGTTTGGACTTGCTTATGGAAACATTTGGTAAATTTATCCAACGAATGGCTACTGGACGGAGGAAATCTTGCAGTTGGAGGGACACAGGCTGACAGATGGGATAATACAATTTAAAATTAGCTAGATCGGATTACTTCAATTTGTAATAGATATAGCTGAATAATGACTGATATGGATAGCAATATATATATAATTTGGAACTGGCTGATAGATTGATA